TTTCCTGTTGGAATGTTACGTTCTTGATCTATCTGCCCAATAATGTATGAGAGAAAAAGTGTCTCGGCCTATAATAAGGCCTTGACACGATAGGACAACTGGTTCAACTTTCAGACAAGAAATGCATGCATGCACAATTAGAAAGAATACAGTTATGTCCAAACTGGGCGCCAACGTAGAAAAATAGAGTACTTTAGGTTATCCTTAAGTTATAATAGGTTTGAAATAGAAAAGAGTATGGCAGTGAACCATGCATCAAACGAAAGCTTATAGTTTATAGAATAACCCAAGGATAAAACTGAATGTTAGTATTTTAAAAACTTTGAATCCAGTGCAATAATTTTTTTTTTGAAAATAGTTCCTGATGTTTGTCATGGCTTCTTTATTTTTCTGTTCACATAATCCTCCTAGAGGAAAAAAAGGTTATAAGCAAAGAAAACTGACTAGCGTTGTGATCCTTGCAAAACGTGACCAATCTGGTTCAATGGAATAAATAAAAAAGAACTAATGATTAGTCACTAGCTGACAGCAATAGTTATGACAAGGTCATTGATATTTTCCCCTAGAACACTGTATCCTCGCTTTTCTGGATCAACATGGAAAAAGTCTGATATTCTGTGTTTCCGAAGCGATCTTCTTATAGGATTCTGTTCTGGTTTTCAGGCATTTTGAGTCACTGGATTCCCCTATCGAAACTATCAGCCCAGTTTCTCAATATTTTGTGACGCACCGGAATTTTCCAGTATATGGTTGATATGATGCACCCACTTTCGACCTTCAACTTCCACCATATCTATTACTTCCTGTCACCTCAAGTGTGCGTTCACTGTTTAGGCGAGTATCGGAAATCAGAGACGTATACATTCCAGCCTGAAATACTTCGCGCTTTGCTCCATGATGGTGATTCAATTGAATATCTGTCTTTCGATTCGTTCTCCTACTCCTTGTTGCTTTGATTTTAATGACAAAATTACTTTTGTAAACATACAGTAGCCCAACTTGTGTTGGAATACAACTGCATGCTTTTATCGAAAGCATGTCACGTGGGATTTCGTCGACATTTGAGAGAAACCAGAGGATGTTGGTGTGGAAATACCATGACGGCATACTGCAGGAGATTTGGAAATTTTATGTGAACAAATTACCTCGGAGGTAATTGATTTGAATATATTGTAAGGAGATATTACACTGGAGGCTTTCGACCCAGAAATATTATGAGAACACGTTACACTGGGAGGATTTGATTTAAAATTATTCTGAAAAGTTTGAACAGTTTCACTGGAAGGTTTATGAGAAAATACTTTATTTAATAAAGTATTCAGGCTATAAATCTTCTCGGTCCAGTCTAAGCCTAATAAATCCAAATGATTCCGGATCGTCAGATGACAAACGCCATCAAATTTGTTTTCTATAAACTGGACTTGGCACTTATTTTTTCATGTTAACTTCACTATATCTCCAGAAGCATTCCGGTTAACGTGCTCGATTGGTTTTGTGGGTGGATATCTTGGCTGACGCCACGTGTTTTTGGTAATCCATGAAATGTAAACTGTATCTAACTGAAAACAAGTAGATTAAATGTTTAAATGACCGTCATATTCTCTTCTATTGCAAAACTGTTGTGATCTAAACATGACCTTTGTGTCTTATTTTCTCATATCCTAGATTAGACATGATGGTTGGTTGTGAGCTTGTCTGTCATATATTTGTTCATATGCCTTTTTTAACCAATTTAAATGAGGAATAAATCGAATAAACGGTGGTCTTCATTCTCCGCTTACCAATCAATCACGTCATATGTCAGGTAGGATATTTTTCTTTTCTTTCCTCAAGGTCGTTCAGTCAATATTAATCGAACTTATGCATTGCAAGCGTCAAAGCTGTAACTAAGCAACTCTTAAATGTAAGACGTCAACCAGATCGAAACAATTCTGTTTTCCTGTGCAGAATGATCAGAAAAATAAGTCTGTGTAAGTAAAATTTACGGACTCATAAGTGATTGTTTAAGTGTTTCAGTAGATAGAGTTTGTGAATTAGGATTTGAGGCTTGAATACCAAATAGGAAGTTACAAATATGCACAACCACTCAATCACTATGTGAATAAAAAATAATTTTTACTTTCGGACAGTCGAGAAACTCAATCGCAGAATTCTCATTCGGAAAAAAGGATTTAGACATTGATGAATCACTGTTATAATATTTCCTCATTACGAGTATTTTAACCTTTGTATGAACTATATGAATTAGCGTATGAATCCTGTCCTTATACTTTTTTATTTACATGAGAGGAGTACGGAGGATGAGTACCATTTCAAGACAGTTTAGTGATCTACTTTATGAAGGCAACGCAACTGGTGAAATGAAAGCACTAATTATTATAACCAACTGTATCAGTGATTGTTTTACTGTACCATTTTGTTTAGTTGTCCAGAAAACACACTTTTCCGTTGTTTGTGACCTAGAGCTTACTTACGTATGCATGGTAGTCTCCCTGTAAACTTTGACACGAAATCGGCATTATTTTATGACCACGAGATTACCAGTAAATATATCATGACTACAATCTACAACTATCCTTCTAATAATTATTTTAAGGAGGTATTTCACCTGATAATTGGCACGTAATCAATCTATAGTGGTGATCTTAGTCGACTACGACCAAAGATCATCATAACAGTATTTCACGACACAAACTAAATCTTAAACTACATATCGTATGATATATGCATAAGTGTTTAATTTAATATACCTTTTGTCTTTTTTTTCTTAATATCTACTAAGATCAAGTAACAGGCTATTTATTATGTTGTACAGAAGTGTTCAAATATGCATGTGACAGATTAAATTTCATAAATATTTAAGAAGTTACATTGTAGTTAACTGCGATATTAGTTACCATAGAAATAATACCATCACAAAGTGGATCATTTGCTTTTACATGAATATATCTAATCAATTGTTCATGAATGAAATTAATTAATTATGAAGTGTGAACTTGTAGTTAGTTGGCTAATGGAGAAAGTCATCCTTTGCGTGATCATTGATGAAATGAACAATGTTAAATGATAGGTCATGGTATACAGTAAAATTATTCGTGCATTATGATATAACTGATTTGTTGTTATAATTTTTTTTTAAATATACATATATTCAAGGTTAGTCTATTTTAACGTTAGTTGAACTGAATGCAAAGAATCAACTTTTTCTGAAAATGTATAGTCAGGAAGTATATAATACCGGTGAAGAGGCTGATAAAATGCAGAATCTTTTGGTAGTACTGAGCAACAATGCCAGTAGTAGAACTCGTTGACGACTTGGAAGTTTGATCAGTCCTAATGAGTTGGTGTCTGACGAAATCTCTACACGGATTCAAAAAGCTTGTTTGGCTATTGTCAACTTACGTCAACTATGGCGAAGGCGAGATATCTGTCTATCAATTAAAGGACGAGTATACTGCACAACAGTTCGTCCTGTCCTACTTTACGGCAGCGAAACATGGCCATTAAGAGTAGAAGACACTCATAAGCTACTAGTATTTGACCACAGATGCCTTAGAAATATTGCTGGGATCACCGGGTAAGTAATAATGAGGTTAGATGCAGGGTATTAGGGAATGATGGTAAATCAGTTAATGACGTTGTGAATCTTCATCGACTGAGATGGTTGAGCCACGTGCCTGGACACCGATTACCACGACGCGCAATTCTGACCAGTGTTGGAGATGGTTGGAAGAAAGTTAGGGGTGGATAAACCAAAACGTGGCATCAAAGCTTGAAGTCATTAACTTCTAGTCTGAGCCATGTTGGTAGATGCAGACTACTTGGTTCGGGTCCGCATGACTATCGTAACCAATAGTTGGAAACTCTATGCCACATGGCTGAGAATCAGTCACAATGACGTCGGTGTATACACTCTCTGGGTTTTCTTAAATCAAGAGATTAAAACCGCTTTATATCTTTTTTTCTACCAACTAATTCTTTCTGCCTGTACTATGTCCTTGTAGTCAATCTTTCTTTTATATATTTCCACCACCGGATTAACTACTATGAATCCGTTGTTCATCTTTTTGTGCTAATGAGGTATGGCAACTTCGACCGATGCATATATGTGCTTGGTCCTACTGTGTAGCTAACTGACTGATATAACAGCTAAATAAAGACAATTACAATAGTAAGTCCACTAAATGTCATTTCAATGGATCAGATTTCTATGAACAACCTGTATACAAGATCATAAAAATCTGATTAGATGAAACTTATTACATATCGATTTGAGTTACGTAACATATCGTAATCCTCTAGAAGATTTAAAGATACTACCCCCCCCCCTATAGATTATACATGAAGTTACATCATTGAAAATTATTAAAACTTCATCTTGTGAATTGCAACTACAATTAGAGTATGTCAAATATTAAAAGAATTAAACGGATGAACTATATGTTTATACTTTTCTTATTCTCATTTAGTCACAGTTGATTAGTTTCCAAGTGTCAGAAGCAAAAAGAAAAACAAGTACATTACCTGGATATTAGGAAATGATCAGATGTATACACGCAAACAGTCTGGAAAAAGGAAATACATATTAAGAAGAAAGGGTCATCCAATGCTTCCAAGTTTTTCAACGATGATCCAGCTTCAATTGACTCATTACAATAATATCCACAAAACCTCTCTCTGTGATTAAAATCTTAATAGTTGGAATTCATGAGTTGATGTCAGTTAAACTACCATAGAAAACTTGTAAGAATCGAATAGTTGGTTTGTCCTAGTATAAGGACTTCTCAGAGTTAGACTGATAACTCCTGCAATCGAATATCGTGAAGTAGAATCATAGATATTCACTGTTGAGGAGTTCCATATTAGGACAAAACAACCAACCAGTACTTTCAAGTATATCATGATGAATCTAGCTTTAATTGATTCATGAATTCAACTATTGAAATGACTACAATCTTCACAAAACCCCTTCATCACCAATGATAAAAACAACACTATTATTATTCATCAGTAAACAAATCTTTAATTGAACTCAAAAATGAGATCAACAGAAAATAAGATCATTCTGATCAAATTATTTTTAAATAGGAATAGATGAAACAACAAGAAAAGAAAAAAACAAAACAAAAAGAATCACATATCATTACAATCGAATAATCAACAAATAGCACTGCATACATTCCTCATTCTATGATTAAAGAATGCAAATTGTAATGATAATAGTGTATTTGATAATTGAAATGAAGATCATAATTCACCATTAAACAAAATCATAAAGCGTTTTTCTTTTATTATATTTAAGACTAAAAGTATAAATAGCAAAATATATCTAAATATAAACTTCTTTCTTTTTTTTTCCTTAGGAAAAAAGAAGAAAAGTTAAAGAGAAGAAATTGTTTTTCTCTCTTTAAAAAAAAAACAAAAAAAGGAGAATAATGTTTTCTTTTCTTACTTACATTAAATTGGGTAAATAAAAAAGATACAAAGATAAAGATAAAATAGAAATGTAATTTGTCAACGGAAATAATCAATATTTTTTTCTTCTTTATTTTTCATCAAAGAAAAAGAAATAGTGGGGGTGGGGGTGCTTAAAGAAACACGATTTGAAAAGATGTAAAAAAAAAAATTTTTTTTTGTTGGTTAGTGTGATATAAATTGAAATTCATAAAATGCTATTAATAGCATTATACAGAAACCTAAAAGGATACCAAAATTTTGCCATAAAAATAAAACACTCGGTTGATGACAACGTCGATTACCTTTAAGTTGATTAGCCGATAATTCTGGCATCTGAGAAATAAAAAACAAAAAAGCAAGCAAACATAAACAAAAGTATTATATACACTGATTAGTTGAAATGATTTTGAAAGTAATGATGATGAGTGCTAAAATGATGGATGTAAGAACTTATCTATATTTAGTCAAACAGTTAGTTTCAACATAGGACCTGGTATATATATACATCGGTCCGAGTTGCCATACCTTATTAGACTTATCTATATTATCATGAGCCAATTGAAGCTAGACCAACATGAAAAACCTGGAAGCACTCAACAGCCGTTTCGTCCTAGTATGGGGTTCCTCAGTAGTGAGCATCCGCGATACCGCCCCATGCGAGATTCGAACCCAGGACCTATCAGTCTCGTGCGCGAGCGCTTAACCATTAGACCACTGAACTGGCATACAACGGTGTTAATGTCTAACTTCAACAAAACCACAAAGTTACACCGCCGCACATCATTGTCCACAGTGAGTTGATATCACACAGAGCCGGTTGGACTGCACTGGTCACGGTTTCTCACCAGAACTCCAGGTTCTCCATGGTGGTCTAGCTTCAATTGACTCATGATTTCAACTATTGAAATTCCTAAAAATCTTCACAAAACCCCTTCTGATAATTATCTATATTAGTCAGTGATGGATACAATAAGTAATAAAAAGCTGGTACCATGGTCTATGTTGATAAGCGCAAAAAATGAGAACAAAAAGTACTTAAATAGAGGTAAGTTAGACAATTGATAAAGTACAGATTATCCCTAACTAGTAGTGTATTATTGATATATAATAATGAAAGTAAAATATGATTGGTCATTGAGAATGGATAAACAAGCATTTAGCTCACTAACAATGATTGCTTGTAATTATATGGAAAAAAGTACTATCTAGTGTTAATTTAGTTCTTTATTCTAGGTCGTAAACCCTGTCACTAATATAACGTAACCGCTTTCATTATCGTATTCAACGCATAATGATAGTACATCTGAAAGGGAAAAATATCCCAAGCCATATTTTATAACAAGTATAAAACATTATTTGGTCCTCCGTAAAGACGATGCCAAAAATTCAATGACAATCTTTATAGTCTAATAATACATGGGCTTAACTATATATTTAGCCAGCTCAGTAGGCTGAAACTAAGTACAAAATATAAATCCATTTTATTGAAGAGGAAAAAAACTAATTGGAATAACGAAGTGTTGACTGAACAATAAAACCAAAAACTAGGATATTCTAAGCATAATCTTCTTCTTATTGATTTACGTTTACAGTTATAAACTTACAATACATACAAATTAACATTTCATTATGAATTCAGTGAGGTTGCCAACCTCATTCCAACCCTGTTTCTTTACCCGGGCTTGGGACCGGCAGTAACCCTAGAAGAACTACAGATGAAGTGCAGACAAAAACTGTGAAAGTAGGGGCAGCATTACTACAGTTTAAAAGCAGATGGGACTCAAAACAACTATCCTCAATACAAACATCAAGACAGTTCTATTGTACAAAGGTGAAACTTGAAGAACTACCACAACCATCAGTAGCAATCTAATATGAGAGAGAACCCACCCCCTACGTGAAGAGGAAATTAGGAAAAGACGTTGTAGGTGAATAGGAAACACATTACAAAAACTATTAAACTTCATCTCCAGGTAAGCGCTAACTTGGAATTCTGAAGGGAAACGGATAAGACCAAGACCAAAAAGCACACTGAGGAGAGAATTGGAAGCAGAGTACAATGGTAAATGCTGATAGGTGGCCGCCTATGCTCCTTCACGAGGGGTGATAGGTGTAAATAAGAATTCCAATCACTTATGACAATAGTTTGCGATCAGGATGCATCATGAAAATTTGATCAGACATTATCACTAATGTGTTAATTATTATTATCTTTTTTTCAAAAAAAAAGGAGGGGGAGTAAAATAATTAAATATAATCAATGTATAGAAATCTAACAGAAAAACAAAACAAAACCCCCCTTTAAAATAGAAAACTAACCATATCAACTAATGCAATATAAATAAACATTCCAGCAGCTAACATAAATATCCATGTATCTAATGAATGCATTCCACCAAGTAAAAAACCAATAATCATACCAGCAGCACATAATATACTGGATAATAAATTATAAAATAAAGCTGATTTTACAGACATTCCAGCATGAAGTAAAACAGCAAAATCACCTAAAAATGAATGATAATGATAATAAATAAAATATTTATTGATTTTTAATAGAATCAATGATAGAGATTCAGTGAACGGATCAATCAGATATAAGATAACAGATCTCGGATTTTGGCACGAAATTCACTTATCCATTTTGACATTATAACTGATGTCAGTTCATGATAAAAAAAATCTTAAATCTAATTCTTAACCTTAATTACCAACTATAAATCATAATTCCAATCTTCATTTGGTCGTAGATATTAGTAGGTGGACATTTTCAAGGTCACTGTAGCGTCAGTCAAAGGTCGTTCATAAATTATGGTCTCATCAAAATTCTAATTAGAACATTTCATCATTGAACTCTATTTGAAAAAGTAAGCATGAAAGAAGTGATTTTTCAGTTGTTTTTTTCTTCTAAATAAACGATTGTTATACTCACTTTCTTTTTTTAAAAGAGACTTACATATTGAATGTAAAGATCATTTGGGCATAGGTCCACTCTACCTGATGCGTCAAATATATTGGTTTATATTGAATTGTACAAGTTGTCCAAAACCATTGAAAGATTAACTTGAGCACACTAGGTCACTTTTCTCATAAATCCTACATTTGTTGACTATTATACTTTGACCTCTATTAGGCGCTTTAATTGAATCACAAGTACTACAGGTTAACCATCGTTTTATTTACTGATATTAGAGTTGGCCCTTATTTGACAGTATATTTGTCTTAAGTATATTTAGGCTTGAGAGAAGTGGGTCTTTGAGTCGCTACCTTATTTAAAGCCCTTTACAATCAATTTAACCGGAAAAGTAAGGATAGGATTGCATAATTTCTTTGTTTACTTTTAAGTTATTATGTCAATGATATCCTGGAAATAGTATTGAAATGAATGTAAGCTGTTATAGATTTTTAAATTTAGTATGTGTTGAACAATTGAATATACGGAATACATTTATTTATCTTTGTGAGAGCCGGTGGAAGTGTCCACGACTAGACCGACATTGTGTTATATCTTAACAAGAACGATTAAAGTATTGGGGTTTTTGACTGGCTTGAGATAAATTACGTTTACGACTGACTGAGGATTATTCTAATATGACACAACGAATAGGAGCTCGGATAAACCACACATACTAATCGAGAAGACGGGACTTTCAGAAAAACTATATATTCCATAAAGGCAAATTTGAAAATGAAGATATATGTAGTTTAGGAAGTAAATGAAAGCAATTATTTAAAAATAATGATAATCGACCACAAAGTTGTCTATTTTGTTGCAGACACAGTGGATTTTATGTGCTAAGAATGTTTTGTTTCTACACTTTGATCATTGTATTGCAATTACCATTATGTTGGGATCGAAATGCTTAGCTAGATATGAGTTATATTAGTAATAAAGCTTATTTAATCCTGCTTAAGCTGAATGTTTGACAGCAATTATTATTTTCGATTCTTCCAATATCCATAATAACCCCTTATTACATAAGTTCACCCTTGAATCATCATAATCATAAAGCAAACTACCTAAGGGGTTAAGGTTACAGTAACTATTTCAAGAACCAACAAGTTCTTAGTTAACATTTCACTTATAATTGAACTTAAAAGTGTCAATATACCAGGTTACATAATTCGATAAACTAGTTACAGTAGGAAGAATAGTGCACGGCAAAATATTGAGTAATTGAGCTAAGAACTTAACATAATATATTAGATATAATTATGGGGAAATAAAACCGACAATTTACGCCGTACTTTTTATAGCTTTAACTCACCTAGTTCATGTGGGAGTTCATGACATAATACAGCTATTGAAGTTGACAGACCACCACGCATATCATTCGCGAATGCAGCACCAATAGCTATACCATCACAAAAGTTATGTAATCCATCACCAGCAATTATAGTATAAGCAATTGCACGAACAGAACTTAAATCATGACTATGACCATGATGATGCCCATGTGGTTTATCACGATGTGGATGTGTTTGAATTTGTTCCCCACCACCAATATAATCGAATGACGAATTCGTCCTTAAAACTGCATTAGGTTTACCAATTTGTGAAGGAGTATTATTAGCAGGGTTAGCAAGCTCTAATGTAGTATTATTCTAAATAGATAATATAAATAAACCACAGACTGTTACACCAGTTTACAGAACAAAGCTCAATGGCAAAATACTACAATTATTGTGATGTTTTCTACTTATGTTGACAAGTATAGGTGGTATGTAACATCAATCCGAGGTAGAATGCCTGGCTGCAGAAGATTGGGAAGATCAAATTGAAGAGAACAGGAATATATACAGAGAGTAATTGTGACAACAACCGGAATGAAAAGATGATGAAGTTTGTAAAAAAAAACAATCAATCGAAGATGTTCAAATGATGTATTTAATGTATGGTTTTAATATTTTACCAAGACACTAATGTTGCATTAAACAATAAATTGTTCTTTCCCATCTGAGTTCTTGTTCACTACAGTATATCTTCTGGTAGAACGAGACGTCAATACATTAGAATCTCAGCATGCAAGCAAAGGTATAAATGCTCTACAACACCTTATCTAGCAAATTTACTATTTAATAAACAGGTTGTTAGGGTTGTCCTAGTCAATAACTTGTATTCATAAAAGTGTTTCTAACTAAGCAATGTTGTATAGATTAAAATCTTCTTAAAAAAACATTTCATTTAACATCAGGCAGCTTATCTACTTAACTATTGTATATATGCATGCAGTTATCGGCTTCTTTCACCTTTTTCCTTTTCTATAGAAAAAACTCGTTGAAATACCTTGTGTTGAGAATTCGATATTGTATTAAAAATATAATATTGAATAAAGCCATTGATAATAATAATAATTCCATATGGTTTTAAAATCACGGACAAAAGCATCCAGATCCTGTTGTCAAGTCGAGTTCCTTGTCCAGTGTCTCTCCTTCAGACATTCATTATCGTCTGATTCTTTCGGATGAAATTATCGAGCGAGCGTATCTTTCAGCTTTACAACCGGAAGCAGTGGTGTACGCCTGTCAACGTCATGATTGTATCTCACCGAATGGTCAACGTACTGGGTTCTTAACTGGTATGTTATTTATTCTATGCATAGTATTTAACATATATTTTCGTCGCTTAACAAATCTGTGAGCTGTGGTACTAGTTAACCAAACGTGAATTTATGTACTCATTTTATCCATTGAACTTGGTGGAATAGGTCTCAAATTTTTTGTGTATTTACTCTTTTAGGATGACGAACCTTATGAACCAAATTACTCGAGCTAAAGGACCACTTTAATACTACCGAACATATGTGATGCGTACGAATCTTGGTCGTTAGGTTCTGTGTGTTTGTCATTGAAAGGCGTACCAATCAGGTGCATTGACTCTGTTAAGGCTTTCTACTCAGTTGTTCTGATTAAGTCAGAGCTTACGGCTAACTGGTATCGGAATTCATAATTTCACGTGCCGTTCGTCAGGGTTGCCCACTTTCACTATTTTTATTTAACTTTGTCATATATAGGAGTGAAGTCGATCGTAACGACCGCTCTATTTATCTTGAGATTCTCATTAGTCTAGATGTTCTGGTGTCAGATGAAACCTCAGCACGGATTCAGAAAATCCGATTGAAGTTTGCTAACTTGAGACGCTTGTGGTTTGAGACAGACGTCTGTCTACCAACTAAAAGGTGTGTATAATGCAAAGAAGTCCGTTTGGATTCGCCATGTGGCTGTGAAATTTGTTCTACGAAATTGAAAGACCCACTTAGGCTACAGAGTTTTAGTCACGTATTTTCGAAGCATTTCTTGGGGTCCGAGGAACTATCGAGGGAGGAATGCTAATGTGAGGGATAGGGTTCTGAGTAAAAATAGTAAGTCGATTGATGAGGTTGTCAATGTACATCGAAATGTAAGAACATAAATGAAAACAATATTTGCTAAAAACCAATCCGGTTAATTAAAAACTACTGGGAAAACTTTCTGAAAAGGTGTTACGTTGTTGAATCGAACAAAAACTTTCCAAATTACTAAAAATTAATGTACCTAAAAACATAATAATCTCACTTGTTTCACATCAAGCATATCAACTACGGATCCTACATTATTTATTGCAGATGTTTGCTTATTAACATTATTAATATTATTATTATTATTGTGCACTGATGACTTTCTCAAATCGGATAGTTTTGTATAGTGACCCTCAACAACAACACCACCACCGTTAAAATGTTGCTGATCAATATTTGCTACCGCTTCAATGGTATCAGTTGTCGGCACAATATTGTTGTTGAACGACCAGTGCGGTTGATTAGCACCATCTGAACCACCTAATATTACAAACAAAATATAAAACACCCGTTCAACAAACAAATAAAATCAGTATCAAACTAATTGCAAAAACAGCGAAATATAACCAAATATCACATTAACAGTGCGATAAAACGTGCAAAGAAACTACTTTCATCGGTTCATATAAACAAAGGTAGAATGTAAATAGCAGTGGACGTTTGATGAAAACCACGCCCGGATAATTCCATGATAGCTAACTACTGACTTATTGTTTTCAAGCCTCACGAAACCCTAAATCTATCATTACAAGATCATTATGTACATTATGTACAAAAGTAATTCGAACATCAGACAGAAAATTCATTTAACTCTGATCTGTATATTCACTAAAAATATGACTTATATCACCTTAATAAGGTATATCTTGAGTTGTGTTAGAGGTGTGAGATCTGTAGTCACCTGCGGTTGTCCACTCTATGATAAGACACTTCTTGAAAGATCTAACATGGAAACTAGACTACATAATATTAATATAGCTCAAATGGGTCACCATTACACACAAGCTTGATCACCATGTTATGGTGGCGACTATGCTGTAGGAGCAGGTTGTAAGAAAGCTAAGGGTGTAATCAATCCATGAAGGCACTAACTGTCAGTCTAAGTCATGTTTGTAGATGTAGACTGATTGATTAGGGTTTTCACGATCATGCTCCGGTTTGGGCACCCGAGCAGTATCACATCCCTCAAATAATTCAAATGAGATTTCTGTGGCTCATATGTATTTGGTGCCTCCTTGTACCAATATGTATGTGTTCAAATAATAATACGTTGGAGGTATCAGCTCGGGATCATATTAATGACAAAGTCGAACGCCCTAACTAATCACTAGGACATCGCTCCCACTTCCCATACAGTAGTTGCAGTTAAACTATCTCGCACTGAGAAATGTATCCGGATTTTATCATTATTCTCTTAAAAATGGAGGTCAAAAGAGCAATTATTTCTGTCTGGCATTTAACACTATTCTTCATTTTAGGCAGCAAAGTATCGTACTTATGCCTTGTCACTTTTATGAGTTGAAAATACTCTATAATTCACTACACATAACTTGGCAAGTAAGGAATCACAAATAATCACATATTATGATTAATCAATATGAGAATTCTAGACAGATGAGGTCAAATATCTTTTTCTTACAGTGTGTGTGACAGAGTGATTGTGCAAAATATGCTCTCTTTAACAAATTCATGGCACTAGTAACTACTTAAACTATTTGTTAAATAAATAGGTTATCAGCTAAACTTGCCCCTGAAAGCCGTAACACATCAAGTGATTCGGTCACGGCTGGTTTGTTGGTTGGTTGGTACAATAGGAATTCATCTGTCTGCTGTGTTCTTATTCCATTCTAGTCATCAGACAAAAGAAGGTGGAAAGCTTAATCCTGAACCTATAGGTGTTAAGTATTGATCTCGGTCGTTATCTCATTGCCATTGAACTACTGGCGAAGAGTAAATCACTGTGTCATGCAGAAATCTAGACGAATTAATCAATAATTGGACTAGATAGAATAACTGTTCTCAGAATAATAGCTCGATCACACAGTCCTCGACATAATACAAGTATCTGATATTTTGCCGCTACATCAGAAACTACTACCATCAGCGTCACGAGCTCAAAATATAGCAAAAGTCACAACTGGATATTTATTTGCAAAAGGAGTTGAGATTCATGAACTAGCGAAGACTGAATATATATAAAAATTACTGACTATGGGACAAGACTTGACGATTTTATATTTGAATACAAATCTAATTACATTAGTACAAGTAATCTCAAATTCCTTGATGATTACGGACGAATATAGCCTTACAAGAACAACTGCTATTCATCTGTTATACACCATACCTTATCCAAAGAACACAAGGGAGAGTCATGTTTTCGTAGTATGAGTTGCATGTTGAAAGAGAAAGCTCACTTTTCCTAAACCTTTGAAGTGAGAAAAGACACAACCTTTTGGTACGATTATCGCCTATACTACCGGGCGTTCACACTCTGTGACCTAAACCTCGACTCTGAATGATCAATTTGTGATCAGCTACTGTATACATGACTGCGTACAAGGTTTTGCTTATTTCGGAGTACACATATAGATTTTGACTACCGTCTTGCATGTACCAAGCCTATCCTGCTTGTCGGTAGCTACTCAACAGATTGTCTTAAACGGGTTGATACAAGTAAATTGACTGTATATACCATTGCAACTAAATATCAAACCAAATTACGTTTAAGGATGGCTATTAATTTAGTGAAAATCCTAGGCACCCACTAGTCAAGTTTGTATTATTTCAAAAAAATGGTCAGTAAAGTTGCTTGAGTCTCTGCTTAACGTCCTGTTTATGAGTTTTGAGTTTCGCAGGCTCCTTACAACTTACTGAAGTATTCCAATTTACTTCACATAATCGTGAGTTTGGCGATATAAATATGAAATTTCACAAAGCTTGTATAGGGGATAAATAAGCCTAGTGATGTAAATATGAATTATTTTGAAGTGGAAACAACTGTGATTCATGTGATCCAAATATAAGACAAACACTGATATGGACAAAGAATGTTAATGACTCGACAAAAACACAACAAACACTTTAACTGACACACTCATTTTTAGGTTAATTATAATCACAGTTAGTGAGTAATTAACAACTGTTACACAACCCCAATTGTATAGCAAATGAACGAAGTTCATACTGAATTAATACACAGAATATTATCCGAAAATAAAACAAATAATACACTGAGCAATTATCATACAGTATTAAATAAAGGAAATACCATTCAACAAAGTTCACAATCAGTTAAAAACGTAATCTTGCATATTTATTTCGTCCTAATATATGGACAAAGTGTGCTGATGAGTTGAAAGCAGCAGATACATTTGGTAATTAACGGAAAATACTTCTACACATTCTGATCACAAGTTACAAGAAGTCTAGTGTCAAAGAAAACTTTGTGAGGTTGGTAGTTAGAGAATTAGTAAACTCCCAAGTTGTCTTGAAAGCTCCACTCCAATAGTGGAGTTGGACAGAGTTGCACAATATCACTATTCCTTCCCATCATTGTCTGGACTCTCTTTGTGATGAATTATCAAAATGGTCAAAATATTCAACTATATTAGTAGTTGCGTGAGTACTAGCAACGGCCTGTTTGAGCATCTGGGCTACCTGTTCCTGCCATCTAGATATTTCAACAAGGTGTCTATTTTTGTTTGTTTTAATATATCATTATGTTTACTAATCGCATAACCTATTCTGCTGCGTTTCTGAAGTGTAAAACCTTTCGTTGTCAAAGTTACAAAAAACTCAATAAGAGACAATGTGGTTGCTGGCAATATACAACGAAAAGAATGCATATTATACAGATGTTCATTTACTGAACTGCTAACATCTAACTGGCGATCACTCAATATTTATCGCCATGGCCGACCAAGAAGAAAGAAACGGAAACTTGTTGAAATACTTTACGCTGAGAATTCTATGTTGTACCAAAAATATAATATTGAATAAAGCTCATAATAATAATAACAGTGGTGACCTGCCAGATGGGATCAACCTATGTATGACGAAAGATAGAGAAGCTTACGACATTGTAGGCCATCTCGTGGAACCGTCGTGATGCTAGTCTATCTATAGTCGGTTTCATAACGTGTCCCTAAGTGCACTTTTGTTTTATACTTGTCAAACTCCGACCTTATGAGCTCATGGTGTACAACGATTCTTTTTGTTAAACAATCGTTGTTTCCGAAGGATTGCTTTCATCCACTTCCAACACCATGTTAGTAAGGCCAATGTTTAGTTATATGTGTCCCACTGCAATGACGATTATACAGTTTGTGTTACCATCTTGAAAAACCGACGCTGATGGTTTGGCCATGTTTTATAAATGTCGCTCCAGTGAACTCCACACTGGGCATTATTTTCCGATGCGAGGGCGGGGTGAGAATAGCGGCAACGCATTCAGTTTGTAAACTACTCCATGTCATGAAAGACAGCTTCATAGGAACGGTACCTATCAGTGAACGATCCCTCCCAGTATCACTGAGCCGGCCATCTAACGGTATTAATGTCTGACCTCAACCAACCCACGATATTGCGCACTGCTGGAGTCCCATACTGGGACGAAATGGCAGTCCAGTACTTCCAGGGTTTCCATGGTGGTCTAGCTTGAATCGACTGACGAATTCCACCATTAAATTACCACAATCTCCACAAACCCCCATTATGATACTACTAATTCTTTTGTGTGGTTTATTTGTGTTCGCCAACAACACCAGAATTAATGTTATTTCGAGTACAGATTATGAAACATAAATCGGTAGACACAAACCATAGGTGACTAGGTTAATACGATGCTATTGGATTCATTCGTGAGTTTTTTATTTGTAAATTATGAACGTGTTATTACTCTTCAGTCATTTTTCCTATTAAACCCAGTATCTTATTGTAATATCCTTAGAAACTCAACTGTTTTTGGTTTATACTGGGTTTTCTAAAATTCAATTTTTCGTAATTTTGGTACCACATTTTATGTATTGTTGCGCATATAACCTCAAGAATTCAAGACAAATCCATTAAGTATAGATAACTCCATAGAAAGTGTTCATTATATAAGCACTTCTTCAAGATTAAAAATAATATACAGGCAAAAAGAGTACTCTTCAAAAATATTTGAATAAAATTTATTACGTACTTATTTGCTTTTCATTAAGATAATCTACGCAACGACTATTATCCATGGGTCGTTCAGGAGAGCAATTACACATCTGGCTTTCGTTCAATGCAGTACTCTAAAAAAAACAAATGTTAGAGTGAATTAAAAAGGGAGATCATACACGATGACCAAATGTTAAAGCCCCACTGCCCATTATAGCAAGTGAATAGGTGTCTTCAAATGAATGATAAACATAAAAATGAGTTAGACATACGTAGAAACTGACTACAGTCTTATATATTGTCTAGTGAATTACGGATGATTAGAAGGTAGCTGATCCGTAGACAAGAATTAAGAAAGTACAAATCTATATAAAATAACAAACTTGAGAATAAATTAAAACTTCTGATTCATTCAAGAAAAAAAACATGAGAAGCATTCATTTTGTCACAATTATAACTTTCATATTTCGATTTAATTGCAAACAGACAGACAGATCAAACCATCAAAACAGGTTACAACGAATAATCAGATAAGGAAAAGAAAGAAATCGTTTACTATCAACTGAATAGTATTAACGCTAAAAACCTTATCAATTCTAATAAAAGTAAAAAAAAGGAAGAAACAAAAACTAGTTTGAAATGAAAGCTACGACGAAAAGCTTGGAGCGATTCTTCAAAGTTTCAATTGCACATTTGTCCCGATAACAATTTTCGTATTATGTCGAGGACCGTGTGATCGAGCTATTATTCTGAGAACAGTTATTCTATCTAGTCCAATTATTGATTAATTCGTCTAGATTTCCTGCATGACACAGTGATCTACTCTTCGCCAGTAGTTCAATGACAATGAGATAACGACCGAGATCAATACTTAACACCTATAGGTTCAGGATTAAGCTTTCCACCTTCTTTTGTCTGATGACTAGAATGGAATAAGAACACAGCAGACAGATGAATTCCTATTGTACCAACCAACCAACAAACCAGCCGTGACCGAATCACTTGATGTGTTACGGCTTTCAGGGGCAAGTTTAGCTGATAACCTATTTATTTAACAAATAG